AAAAAAAATTTTTTTCCATGTGTACAGGAGTAACGTATTGTACTAAATATGTAAGGTCATATCTACATGGGTTTGATTACAAAAACTAATAAAGTATTCTCTAAATAATGAAAAAAAAATAAGGGCTTTGATAGATTAGGGATTTTTCCATTTTTACTCCATCCTGATAGATTTTGATAAATGCTGCTTACCTATGGACTCCACATGTTATGTTTGTTTTGCATTTTGGTTCTTCTAAAGAGCTGGCAGGTGAGAAAGACCGGGTTTGCAAGGGGAAAGGAATAAAAAGCAGGTGAAGAAGAGGCGGAAAGCACGCATAAACACCTTGCTGTGGGAAAAGCTTTGAACATTTGGGTTGTGTAAGAATCCAATATGGAAGCTGGTGTGAGTGGGCAGTGGGGGTTCAGAGTCAGTGGTGCTATTGCTCTGGGCCTGGCCAGCTGTGGCAGGGAAGTTGGGTTGTGTGCTAAGAGACGTAGAATGCTGTTGGGAATGATCTGACCCACATGTTCAAAATCTAAACCTATTTCTCAAAATTTGGCAGTGAATACAATTAGAATAAGATAATATAATAATCCATATGTTGTTATTTCCTTGAATTTTGGTGTTGGTTGATTATTTATTACCACTAACTGATTAGCTCTCATATTATTTTTAAATAAATAATATTTAAAGCAGTTACCACACTTTGGGGATAACTAAAAATGTAGCCAGGCACCAGCTGACTCACAGTAGTTGCTTGATGATTGCTTACTGAATTTCAGAGCTGTTAAGTACATATTTTGAGATATTTTCCTCCCAAAAGTGTTGATACACAGGAACATGAAGGAAGTTAAGTAAAAATTTCCAGCTAGACTAAACTGTAATTCATCAAGTATAAAAATGACCTTAGACAAAATAGTCTAATGGAAGTTTATTTATTTTTATGTATTCGTTATGTATTATAGATGTTAACCCTCTATTTGAAATTAAGATTACCTTAACTCTTAACACCGAGGGATGTTATTTCAATGTTCTGTTATTTCCAAACGAATAAAGATGCCCCTCAGACATTCACAGTGCCCTTAAATGAGCCAGTGGAACATATCATCTAAGAATTTATTTAAAGCTCTCTTGAAATCACTCACATTTTCAACCTTTATCTCCTGTTGGGATGAGGAATTTTTAATTTTATAAGGTAGTCAGCAATTTGCTTATCATATCCATTTCTTTTGAATCATACTATCAAAATATCATCACTTCTCTACTCTCAGTTTCTACTTAAACTTAGTGGCTTAGTGGTCTCTGCTTCTGTGGGGCACCGCAAGGAAGGAGGAGAACAACATGATCAGACTTTGTAGTCCTTCTGACTGGCTGATGAGGACAGAAGAACAAGATATGAAGAGGGGCATTATCAAAACACAAAAAGCTATTGATTACAGTGGCTGCTCTCTGGGCTCCCCAGGAGAAAGGAAATAAAACTGTTATAAAGGCCCAAAAGAAAACAGTTTAGTGTAGTCAGAAGTCCAGGAATCAAACAGCCTTTGTTGGAACTCTTGCACCTTGGAAGCACATCATTTAAACTCTTTATGCCTCAGTTACCTCTATAAATTGGGCTGATATTTTGTCTTGTTTCCCAGGTGACTATGAATGATAAATGAAAAGCTTCTTGCATGCTGGATGCACAGAACAGGTGCAGTTGGTGCCCTGGACTACTGTTTACTCTGCTAGGCTCTTATTGTACAGGAAGTCATCTCGAAGTTCCCTCCAAGTTTCATCCTGGGGAATCCTGATATGGCAGCTCTGACCCCTCTCCCAAAGGATATGGGGAAGTGGCCATTCAGATTGCTTCAAAATTGTGAGTTCATTACAGTTTGGTTTGCACATCCCTTCCTAAGAACATTTTGTTGACATTTGTTTTGAATTATAGTACTTTGAGGTCACACTTTCAGAAACCACAAGGCCAAAGTGTAATCATAATTATTTAAGCACAGTCTCCTTTATTCTCTTGCCTACATTGAAATATTTCTACCTCCATCCTGGCCATTTTCAGAACTCAGCAAGCTCTTTTGCTGCTGATTTTTACTAGCTTGGCATTCTGCTTCTAGGAAAATCAAGGTGATGTTCAACTTCAGATGTCAATTCTTGATCACCTAACTGATCCTGGCACTGATGCTTGAGCCATCATTAATATTTGCTATTTTCCATTCAGGGAAGGATAATCCACCTATCCCTAATCTGACTGAGTTCTTAGTTATGGCCATTCTTAGGATTGATTTTGTTTTAGGTAACTAAATCCATTGGGCTGAGCTAATTTACATATTAGCTTTAGATGGCCATTCTGTCTGTAAGTAGGATTTGCCTTTTTATTGTTGCTGTTTTTGAGACAGAATTTTGCTATATAGTTCAGGCTGGCTTTGAATTCAGTATGTAGGCCAAACTGGCCTCAAACTTGTGGCGATCCTCCTACCTTAGTCTCCCAGTTACTGTTATTACAGGCATGTACCACCACACTAGCAGATTTGTCTTGTATGCAATTAGTTTTTGGCTCTTGAGACCCATATTTGGGAATAAATGTGGTCTTCAGGTTAGAGAGACTGTCTTCTTGATCCCTAAGGACAGACTGTGTTAGCTGTTCCACGAACGTTCCTCCGGCTGGGCATGGTGCCAGGATGCATGTGCTGGGTCTTTGCTAGAGATATGAATTGCAATCCTAATTATTTCACTGTCTTTATTGCCTCTGAGATTCCTTGTCATGAATCAAGCAACAAAGATGAAATTGATATTTAACTCGGTAAACTTCCAAGGGCTATCACTGCATTGCATATTGCTGACAAGTTGTCTTGCTTATGTGACTCTCAGCTTTTGAGATGTTTACCCTGTGTGGATTTGAAGAGGTGCGTGTGCTTCCCATGTATGTAGGAATGAGGAAACAGCAAGGGCACTTCACCCACAGTAAGCCAGATCTCTCTTATGATGAGTAGAGCACAGTGTGGCCATTTTGCATTTTCAAAGCCAAGACCAAATTCTGTAGCATTCTTGCTGTTGTTTTATTCTGTAATTTCAGTAATGTGCGCAAAAGCCAAGTCCTTCTTGGATTAAAGTTAATGGAGGGTCAATAATCTCCCTTATGCTCGCCTAGTGTTATTTCTCGTACTAATGCTTGTCTCATTCACCTCACCCCAGTCTACACCGTAATATGCCTGTATCCTGAAAGACCTCTCAGAATTTTGGTGAGCCAATTTGTCTCTCTATTTTTAGCACCAGATCTTGGCCAGCTAGTTCCTGAGGTGAAGGGACTCCCTGCCCCCCATACGTTTGTATTCCCCCAAACACCATATGTACTGCTTCCATGCGTGCCGACTTGTAACCTGGTATCCTGCTGTTCACAGGAATGTGCTTGAAACCAGGGGAAGAAGGATGTCTCAGTACCCCTTATTCTATTTCAGGAGCAGCCCCTGAGACCACCTGATCTTCGATGAGCACCTTCATATATTTTACTGATTCATCCAAAAGATCTGAGAGTTAGGAGTCGCAGGTTCAAGTTCTTTTGCTGTCGAGGAGCTTGAGTAAGTCTTTCAACTTGCTGGTATCTTGAAGTCTCATTCTGTGGATGAGAATGTTAAGTCAGATGGCCTTCCACGCACTTTCCAAATCCAGGGTTTTATAGAGAATCCTTAGTGTCTACTCCTCAGTAACTTTGGTGCAGTTGCAGAATTAAGTGTACAAGCAAGAGTCACACTTTATCAGTTTAAGGCTGTGTTTTATGAGATGCCCAGGCAACTGACTGCCGAAGCTCCCAATTTTGATTGCAATGCTTGAAAATAATACTGAATCTAGTTGGTAAACAAATCTGTGAGTTCTTAGGAGGCCAAATACCATCAACAGTCTTTTGCAATTTGCTGGAACAGGGACAGACATCTGCAAATTTTAGATATTTACATAGATGAAATGCAGTACTCTAAGGGGATTATACTGCATCTCAGTAAAAATGAAATGTCTAGTCACCATATTATACATTTAATTCCACTCAGAATCTTTAGTAAGCCTTTTGGGATGGGAACACCTGGGACATAAATATTGAAAAACTCAGCTGCTACCCATCCCACCTTCCTTACGTTTTTTTTTTTTTTTTTGGTACCGGGGATTGAACTTGGGTCCTTGCACTTGCAAGGCAGGTCACTGAACTGCTGAGCTAAATCGGGTAGGGGAAGGGTAATAAGGGAAAAGAAAAAAATGTGAGACAATGAAAAGATGGAAATAAAGTGTTTGTAGATGGGGAGGGGAGGAGGGGGTGAAGGGAGGGCAGGGACAAGGGGAAAAAATGAGAACCAAGACTTGTCATGTAGAGGTACAAGATCCCAACAATGAATGTAACTGTACTGTATCACTAAAATGTACCAATAAACTCAATTAAAGCTGAAAAAAAAACAAAAAAACAAAAACTCAGCTGCTCTCCAGAGGCCAGACTCCAAAATGCAACGGTTTTCTTTCCAATTGCTAGAAAAGATAATATCCTATTGGAATTACCTTTGAGTAACACTAAGTGAATCATTAACTCCTTATTAGCTAATAGTTGAAACACCAAGAAAAATCAAGGCACAAACAAATATTTGGAACAGTGGTCACATTTGGAGTGAATATCCTTAACTATATTTGATAATGAAACAAGGTCCTCACTAAACAATAGTTTTGAGTTCTGCAAGTAGTAGGCCTTCAAAAAAATTAGCTAAGGGTTTGACCTTGAAATTCCAATGTACCAAAGAGCCAACTCTAATTAAAGAAACACTTGTGTATATGCAAATTTTGAAAGTGGTTTGCATTTCCATATTTTTCCCACCTGAACTCTGTTTTACAATTGAGGAAGCAGGTTGACTTGCTCAAGATAGCATTTTCTTGGCATCAAAATTCCTCTATTTTTAACTATGAATTTCACGATTCTTTTAAAGTCATGATGCTCTGAAGTATAAATGCAGAAATAAATGTAAATAATCATAGGTGTAGGTTAAAGGGCACAAAGTTTCAGTAAGACAAGAATAAATTCTGTAAATCTATTGTATGACATGATTATAATCAATTGTAATGCACGATAGACAAAAATGTCAAACCTTGTCAAAAAAAAATGAGGAGTAGTGAGATAGCAGTAGTGAAAACTGATGTGTTAATTAGCTGGGTTGAATTATTCCCTAATGTGTAAATATATAAAACCATCAAGACTTGATAGAAATATAATAAAATAAAAGATAGACATATTTCTCCTAATAACTTTGCTTACTTTGGAAACAAAAAAGTCTTTAGGACATTTTTTTTCCTAAGATTTTCTTTTCCTTCCTACCCTTTTCTAGGATTTCAAATACCTAGTCCTTATTGCTTTATTGCTTTATTGTGTTGTGCTTTCCAAATATCAGACCCAAGTAAAATTTCAGAAAAAGCCAAGAAAACACAGCACTAAGAATGATTTTTAACAAGTCTATCATCCCTAAAGAATTCTTTTCAGTGCTCAATGTGCATTGGCTGGTCTTCTCAATCACAGGCTGGCATCTGGCTTGGCTTTTTATTTTCCTCTACTGCTATCTGCTGGTAGTAGGTCTGCAATGGCAACTTCAAAATGCAGGGCACGCAATCACTCATGTCTGTAGGACCCACATCACTGATTCCCAACTCTAGCTGCACATTAGAATCATATGGGGCATTTGCAAATGTGTTGATGGCTCAAGTCCCACTCCCAGAGATTCTGATTGCAGTTGGTGTGGGGGAGGTCATTTGCATTTTTTGAAAAGCTCACCAAAGAATTCTAATATGTAGTCAGCATTGAGAGCCACTAAATAATCAAATCTCACTAGATTAATGTAATTGAGAAAAATCTACATTTAATTTTGCCATATCTAGACCAGTTCTCCAATTCATTTCATACCCAAAATACAACTCATTTCAACTTGATATGATTTTTATGGATTAAGAGCAGTTGAAATCAGCTATTTTCTCTGTAAGCTTTCAGGATTTTCCTGAGAACTAAACAGGAATCTAGCCTAAAATAAGTCGGTACAATTATTTTGTCATATTTCATATTATAAACTATGATATAAATGAATACTAAAAATAAATGAGTTATAAAAATGTATAATTTAGGAAGACGTGGGCTTGCATTTCATATTAATGTTCTTATAAACTTAGATTCCTTTCCCATGAGTTCCATGGTAGACTAAAAACTGGAGGCCTGCTTACTTTTGTAAGCAGGTAGATTGAAAATGCAATTTATTTGAGATTGAATTTCTGTCCAGTCATGAGGAAAAATGAAAAATTTCAGGAGAAAATAATATAAGCTTTAAACACACACTTGCACACACACACACACACACACACACACACACATACTTCATGTTATGGTTTGGGTCTAGATGTCCCCCCAAAGCCTCATGTGGTCTCAGGTGACTTTTTATTTATTTATTTTCTTTCTTTTTTTTGGTGGGGTCTTTTTTGAGACAGGGTCTCACTACATAGTTGAGACTGACCTGGAACTCACTATGTAGCTCATACTGGTCTCGAACTCACAGCAATTCTCCTGCCTCAGCCTCCTGAGTGCTGGGATCACAGGTGTGCACCACCACGCCCGGCTCAGGTGACTTTGAGAGGTGGCCAATCTAGAGTGTGTGATGCTGGGATTAAGGGTGTGTGATTACTAAATAGATTTGGCATTGTCCTAATCCCAGTAGTTTAGGTTAGATAAAAGGGGCAGAAAGACTGTTAAATTTCTCTTGTTGCTTTTGCTACCATGCGGGCACCATGAACTGTTTCTCCTCTGTGACATCCCCTGCCATGTGCCACCCTGCTTTAGAGCCAGCCAGTTACAGACTGAAACCTCTACACCCTGTGAGCCAAATAAACCCTTCCCCCTTTAACTTTGGGTGTCAAGTATTTTGTCTCAGCAATGGGAGAAAAACAACTAAGCTTTCACATCACATGTAGATCCTATATATTTTCACATACAATATTATAAATCAGTAGGGATAAGGGTTTGATTTTCTTGGAAGTAAGTTTAACAGACAATCCAGAAAATATCTATTAAAATTAGTGAGCATTATTTCCGTGTTCCTCAGAGATATTCTACAGATCTGTAGGTCAGGAAGCTTCCTTACACCCTCGCAAACCCCAATGACATCAACCAAAATGAAAATTTCTCATAGGTCCTTGTCAGTTGGATACTTTCTCTCTTGTCAGAAGATGTAACAGATTTTTTATCCTCAGTTGTATCCAAGAAGCCTTGGTGCTCTGATCTGCTGATCCCTACCCCTCACCTTGATATTGAGAAGACTTCTACGAAGTTTTCACCTTAATTGTATGATCCTTCTAGAAGACAAAACTAAAAACAAAATACAATCAAAAGAAAAGCCTGCCTAGGAACTTTTTGTTATTATTGTTTTTGTTCATTTGTTCTTTAGTTTTATGAGACAGGGTCTCACTTATGTAGTGCAGGCTGGCCTTGAACTAACTTATTGACCCACAATGGCCTTTATTTATTATTTATTTAGGATTTTTTTTTTGAGACAGGATCTCACTATGTAGTTGAGACTGACCTGGAACTCACAATGTAGCCCAGGCTGATTTCGAATTTACAGCAATCCTCCTGCCTCAGCCTCCTGAGTGCTGGGACTATAGGTGTGCCCCACCACCACACCCAGCCACAATGGCTTTTAATTCTTGGCAATCTTCCTGGCCTTGGCCTCCTGAGAGCTGGAATCACAGGCATGCACCACCAAGCCTGGCTTCCATCTAGTATCTTTTAGACTTTTTCTGAGCTTTTAAAACTTTAGGAACACACACAAAAAATTCATGTGTTGGTTAAGGAATGATATCTCAGGTTTTTTTTTTAATCCTTCATTGAGTTTATTGGTAATGATATCTCAGTTTTATGGGAGAGAATTGTCAGTTCCAATAGCAATTTTAAGTGGGAGGAAAGAAAAGCTTTTTAATTACAGAATATAGCCTATCCCTTGAAAAGATGGATCTGAAATTTTCACTAAACTTAAAAAGAGTCTTCATAAGTACAGCTCCTACAAAAATTAAGGAAACATGACAAGGATGCAGGATAAAGTTAGTTGTTTTTAGTCTTATTGCCTGATTTCAACCTGATTTAAATTCTGAAAATATTTTGTAATTGTTTATTTTCATGGTTGAAGAACTGAGTTATAAAACTAGGGAGATGTGATACTGAAATCGAAAACAGCCCACCAGTCCAGTCTCTCATTCTATTTTATCTCCAAGATTAAATTATTTTCCTGCTTTATAATTTTGGACTTCATTGAGATTCCAGTTCTGATCATTCCAAATAGATGTAAGGGGAATAATATGATTTTCAAATTTCCATTAAAATTATTTTATACATGCACAGAAATCATTTCAGTGCCCTTTCATACTGAAAAGTAAATAGCCGATTTTAAATTCTTGAGATGAATGTCAATATCAATCAAAATGCTATCACTGAATTATTGCACCTGCTTTTCTTTAAATAGGACTACTTACAGAAATCCAGTCTGCTGGATTTAAGATTACCAACTTGTTTATCAACTTC